AACGATTTATTGCAGAATTGCTGCTCTGGGAAATAAAATCTTAGAAAGGGGAGGAAAAGTTAGTAGTGGGGCTCAGGATCATGCATTTTATGGAAGTTGTGACATTCTTAAAATTCTTCCAAGAAACAGTGACTTTGAACCAGACACATTCTGTAGAGCAAATAGCGTAAGTATTAAAGCAGTGGTGCTGCAGCTTCTTTTGTGAATTGCATATTATACCAGTGAGATTGTAAACAATATTTTGCCTGTGCTGAGTTAAATTCAGCTTCTAATTATGTTTACAAAAATACTTCTGCAATTTTATGGGTGTTCTGTCACAAACCACACTCCTCCAGTGAAGCTTTCATGGTCTGTAGCAGTGGGATTTCTGCCTGTTCCCTTGCAAGTTGCACAGACATCAATGAAAACACCTGCCTGGTCACCCAGTGGTGAAAGTAGATGTTGACAATGATGGCCCAGGCATATTTTTAAATTCTCTTTTAAATTCCATAATGCACTACATTATTCAAAGACRGATTTTACACTTTTAACATCTTCACTTGCCCCACACGTGTGCCACTTGTTGCAATGGTAATACAGAAAGTGCTCTACCTTTGCAGTAATACAAGTGATTTAAAAGAAAGCTGATGAAAACTGTGTCCTAGCATGAGCTCATTCTCAGCAAACAAGGCTGGAATCAGTGTTTCCCCTCAAGCAAGGATCGGCCTTTGAAAATAAACCCCAAAATTAAGGGACTTACAAGACAAAGAGGGATGCAGAGATCAGTGGCACAAAAAACAAGCATTACCAGCTTTCAGTGGCTGTCTCTCATTTCCCAAATTTTGTCCAATGTTAGACTGTCTTCTTTCCCCTCTTTGCCTTGCCCAAGCCTTGCACAACTTAGTAGGATGACAAGAAGGAAAGTACACCCCAGAAGCAGGGAAGTTGCACAGATGTTGAAGATTTGCTTGGGTTCCCCTAGAAACATCATGTAAGCAATAACGTGGGCAAAGCCTATATCCCTTGCACAGGGTCTGGTCTGGCCCTGTTGATGAGGAGTAAATTAACACCACAAATTGGCTGCCACATCTGCTCTAGCACATCTGTGGTGCAGCTGGACTTTCAGTGCTGCACACTGCAGCCACTTGGACATTCATCGTGATGATAAGGAATAAATCCACCCTTTTCCTAGGCCAGGTATCCCTACTATGTGTCTTACAGAAGAAATGTATTTGCAGTTGCTGGAAAGAGGCACAGTGAGGTATCTTGCTGCTGTATACATAAGCTAATTGCTAAATAAATAAACGTGCAAGGCGTTTGACCAAGYGAGTGTTTGGTCATAGCCTGCACCTCCTGGCTGAGAATTTCCCCTTCCACCCAGGAGATGGCACTAAGGCCCTCGCACAGAAAGCATCCTGTTCACCTTAACCAAAACAGCTTTTTTTTTTTCAGGTCATGCCCTGGGGAGAAAACCCACAAAATTTGGATTCATTAGGTTGCTGCATCCTGTGATGGGACCAACTAAGTCTGATTTTTGCAAGAGTAACATGCTTCTGGAGGACAGCTCCTCCCCTCGCTAGGCCAGCCTTTTTCTCCAAGGTTTTTTTTTGTGTTGTTTTGTTTTCCTTTTTCTTTTCTCTTTTTACTTGTATAAAGCTTTATGCCCTCCATACAAACATCTCATCCCTCTCTGAATCCTGTCGAGACTGTCGCTGCTGTTGTCTGGTGCTGAAAGCAGACAGCTCATTTGGATTGTACAGAAAAAGGACTGAAAAGCTGTTCTGAGGTAATTCCAGTGTTAGCTGGAGCTTTTTACCTCTTTTTGACCCCAGTGCTCTTTGATTTTAAGCCTATATCATTCACATGAAGAGGCTCCATCCATCCTCTAATGGGAACATCAAAGGGAGCGCCAGGGAGACAAGGGAAGTGGTCCGTGTGACTGGCTCCCTTCTGTAATTTGAATATATTTGCATGCAGCCTGAATGTCCCCCATTACAAAATGGTAATTGCTCCCAGGAGCACTCTGAGAGCTTGCTGAAGTCAYGCTTCGCACTGTGATAACCACTGCCTACCCATTTGTGTGCTCGAGCTGGCTCGGAGCCATCACCCTTTCCATAGCAGGGAGTTGGGGAAAAAATGCATTAACAGAAATCACTGCCAACATCAGACAGGCCGATGTCAGAAATGGTTGATAATGAGGGTTTCCATAAGCTGGCCTGGAAAGACAAAGGTATGAGAGAAATAAATGCATCTCTGGGAAGACAAATGGTAGCATCTGAGGACGCAACAGGCAAGATCACAGAATTATAGAAAGGTTCAAGTGGGAAAGGACCTCTGGAGATCGCCTAGGTCAGCAGCTCTGCACTTCTCTTGCAGAGAGCAATCAGCTCTGCCTTGAGCAACTCCTCCCAGAGGAGGACTAGCCTAGGGTAGGCAGGTGAGACCCCTCCAGCCACACTACAGGCTGATGCTCTGCTGAATGCTGGTGTCCAGATTGTCCCCTTGGCTGCAGGCAAGGCGGGTGTCTGCAAGGTGGAAGCGCGGGTATTGAGAGCCTTGCCTCATGTTTGGTCACCAAAGCTGGAAAGAGTTTAAATGCGTGCACTGCCAAAACGTCCAGGAAGGACAATTGCCCTCAAATCAGCAGCTTCACTTCTTCTCCCTGGCACCTTGTTAAGCACCACATTAGCAAATCGAGCATTAGTATGTCTGGTCAAGTATTTTTATTAGTGCTTCCGACAGTGTGAAGCATTAACATATCTCCTGATTCATCCATTTGTTTCCTCTTTGGTTGCCTGTTTTGATCAGCTTTTAACAACATATTCGTTCCTGGAGAAGAGTGCTTGMAATTACCTTGTATACGTGCCCTAAACTCTCACCTGGACACGTGGCCTCTGCCAGCATAACAAAGCAGTGCAATGGAGCAGTCTCAAAATCTGCTGGAGGTGAACATCTCCAGCACGAAGAGGCAGGTTAATGGAATTTTTCCATAATACAAATCCATTAGTCAGGCCATGAGATGCATTTTAATTGCTGCAAAAGTGATGTCCCACTAAGAATGCTTCTGTTCTCATGGTCCTGTTCTCTGAAAAAAAATCAAACATCTCTGTGTCCTTAGGATTCCCTGATATAGCCAAGTCTTATTTTTCTCCATTTTTAAGTTAAAGGAGGTTCAATACTGTCCTACAAATCCTCTGTTATGTTCTGTTTTCTAAGCAYATTCCCAGTGACTTTTGCACCTCTTTACACACCATATCTTTAGGCACAGTGGAAATAACCTATAATGCCCAAAGTGCTGCACTGACTGTGGTCAACATCTCATCTCAGTGGGAAGGAYGGGCAACTTTGCAGCAGCTGCAATCTGTTTACTCCCAAGCTATTTTTGGGGGGAGATTAGCCTTTCCAGTTGTCACTTTTCTAAACCTTCCAATACTTTTCCTCCTGCAGTAAAACAGCTGTCGTGCATGTGATTTTCTTAAGATCCCACAGCAGTGCATGGAAACATTCACTGCAGGTAAGCAGTGATAGGATGAAACTTTTTCAGAATATGGACACAAACAGCAAAGTCACACAGCTAAACAGGAAAGCTGTGAAGTGCCTGACAGTTTCCTTTGGGATCAGCATCCCTGGGTCATCAGTCCTTTCAAGCACTGGGCTCTGCAGCCCGCCTCGGGATCAGCAGCTCTGCAATGCCATCTTCAGGCAGGCAGCAGCCTTGCTCCCTGCAGAAATCCCTGGAAATCACCCTCAACTCAGGAAGGMAGACAGAGGGAATCAATCCTGGCTTAAAAATCATTAGTAGAAATTGGTGGCCAAACCTAGAAGATGTCAAATACAAAAGAGGCAAAGAGCTTTACAAGGTAGCAACCCAGGTGCCATGGACAACCCAGATATCTCCTTCACTGTGAGCACACAAGGCTTTGATGAGAGAACATTAAAACAATGCTACCAACACAAACTACTACTTTTTGGAAGATGAGGTTTATTGGCACCTTTTATTTATAGTACATGAATAGAAACTGCCTGAGTGATTTTAGCTCCACAGACTGCCTTTTACAGAAGAGAGTTTTTCTGCTATTGATAAGAGCTAGAATTCTTGGGGGGATTTAACAAAAGTATGTGTGTAGAAGGGTCTTTGCTGAGCACTTCACAATTATTCCGTAGCCCCACTGGCGGGGTTGGAAGATGAAGTGTGTCCAGGCTCCCAGGGTCCCTTCCAGATAATATCATTCATATGGATAACTTGGAGAACCACAGAACTGTAATCACAGAATAGTGTGGGCAACAAATCCTAAAATAAATCAGAAAATGAGGTACAGTGAAGACCTGTGCACAGCGGAGATCTGCGGAGATCTTCTGGTCTAACCTGCTGAGACAAGGCCAACTCTGATGAGGTTGCTCAGGGTACTGTTCATACAACATCTGAACATAAACATGAGATTCTACCACCTTTCTGGTCCCCAAGTCACTATTTGACCATCTTCATGGTTAAAAATGTTTTCCTAGTATCTAACTGAAAGATTAGATATTGCAATCTGTCRTCTTTCATCCCATCTCAATATAGTGATTGTCCTGTAACCACGTAGTGTCTTAGACATTAGAATAAAAGATCCCGTTACAGAAACTGGTTGAAAAATCACTTTTTAGAACCCCTAGATGAGGTTCTGCCATTCACACCAGTATCTCAGCAGTAAAACTCTTATTGTTTTTTTTTTTATCAGGTCTCACAGCAGTTTGTACCAGCCCTCACAATTGTTTGCACTTTTCATCCACAGCCTCACCTGTGGAAATCCCGTGATTACCAGGGACTCAGCTTTGATTGCCAGGGACTCAGCTTTCACCGCAGAAGTGGCGACCCCATGGGTTATCTCTGCACTTACCATGGGCGGCTGTAGCACCTCTCACTGGGCCGTGTCCACTGCGATCACTTCCTGGGAGGACAGCATGTGGGGGAGATGTGGGACGGGCTCTGTGGCCGAGCACAGCCCCACAGCAGGGATTTGAGGTGACCGGCTTAGTCTCTGCAAGAAAATGCTGTAGTTGTCCTCGTACTCTGATACCCAGTAGTTCCTGCAGAGAACATGGAGAAGAGGGTAGGAAGAGGATCTCCTTTCTTTGCTCGGCATACCTGAGCACCAGGACAGGGAATCTGCCTCTGTTTTGGCAGTGCAACTGTGCAGTGCAAATGAAAGCACATGCAGATGGCATGGGGGAGGCTGGGAACAGCCTGTCTCCATCAGGAGAGCATGGATGCTGCCACACATGGCATGGCTGTCACTGGGACCAATCTGCCACCCAGATCAACTGTTACAAAAACTTGGTCCTCCTACCYACACATAACTGCAAGATCATAGATCAAAATCAACACTTCGGTGCAAACCTGAAATATGTGGGCACCAGGGGAGGGAAGGGAATGAGGCAGCAGGGAGGAATTGCCTTTCCAGTGAGAAATGAGGGTTCAGGAGCAGTTGATGCCTGTTTGCTCATAGTGTGCAGATGAATCACACTGCAAACAGCTCCTGCCCTAATTGGAGGGTGCCCTTTTGCAGGGGGAGAGCAGGCACTGCAGTGTTGAGAGACATCTCCCTCCAACAGTCCCACAGGGGCTTGACTCCTTCTTTCCAAAAGGGGTATACCAGACATTATCCAAGGAGGGGAAAGTTTCTCAGCTCATATCAATCCTACCAAAATTTTTTCAAGAAAAGACTAAGTAAGTCTTGTGAAAGGATCTGACCCCGAGGGAATTCATTTGAGCTCATTGCATAACATGGACAAGGAGAAAYGCACTTGTGAAACGCTTTCTCATCCTATACAGTTCCAAAACCTACGTATCCCCACTGCCAGCACCCACCCTATCCCCTATGCCCGCTCTGCCTTACTGGTTAAAGCACTCATCTTCAGTAAAAATGTGTGAAAAAGTGCTATTTGCTTTRCAGTATCCACCATGGGCTCCAAGCAAGGGCTGAAAATCTGTGTTGTAGATACTTCTGCGATCACCATCAAAACATTCTAGTAAAAAAAAAAMCACATATATAGTTCAAATAATTGAGAGGCTTTTTTCAAGTCTCTATCCTCTATATCCTGTAGTCTGTCTTCTCCCTCTTCTCTCAACTTCAACTGTTAATGCTTTCAGCATTCCTGTTGTAGCTGCCATTACTGAGATGCAACAAGGATTAGCCACAACAGGAAATGTAAGAAATGTTTCTCTGGTCTACACAAGGCCTTTTAGACATTATTTAGACATTATTTATTGTTTAAATTATTTAGACATTAGAAGATTATCAAACCCTTATTTTTTATGGCCTTTAAAATATGATGCTGCCTCCAGATCAGAATATGGTGCTTAAGCCATACTCTTCCCAGGAAGAGGAAATTCAGTCACAAGCMTTCTTGGCACCTCTGACTGTTGTCTTCATCATGGCTAGTAAATAGAGCCGGGCATTTCTGCAAACAGCAGCCTGGAGTGACAGATTCTGCTCATATCCTTKGGTGGGCACCCACAATAGGCATTGGCATGGACCACATGGATCACAGTGGCCATATGGAAGATGAGGTCCCAGAGGATCTCAGCCTCCTCTGGCTAGACTTTTCTTGTGAAATTCTGGAGGTGCAAAGCTGGATGTGTATGACCTGATACGCAGTTCCAGTGATAGGTGCCCATTGAGCACATGGCAGTAACCTTCCCACCAACGCTGCTTCCAAGGGCATTTCACATTTCATTCCCTTGCCCTTAAACTTCCTCAGTCTGTTCCTGCATTAACTTCAAAAGCCCAAAGCCAAACCAAAGGCCACAAGTCATCTAGGTGAAGAAGTTGTCATAACCTCCATCAACTGACCTTCCCTCAAAATAGATGATCCCAAGACCATGCTCCTATTTTCTTGAGCTTTAAATTGTCTTGCCCGACACGTCTCCAAGATGAATTCCTGGTAGGTAGCCCAGCCCTCAGCCAGCTTCTGCTTGYGCAGCAACATCCCTGGGAGATTGAGGAACAAGAGAACACATTAGACTAGGAGCRCCATCAATTACTCACCCAAATCCTACCCTCAGGCTAAGCCAAGAGCAATCTGGAGCCTCAGCTGGCATAAATCAGGTGAGACCCATTCACTTCAGCAGAACCCTGCTGAGCTGTATCAATTTTGAATTGATTTAGCTGACGAACCCAGTGATGGAAATATATATATAGCGATGCTAAGCAAGCAGGTATGGCCAGCTTTGCGGAAGGCAGGAGCCATGCTGTCTCTGTGTTGCACTGGAGCATTAAAATGAGCTGAGACCTTTTGTAAGAAGTTAGTGAATAAAAGGGAAAGAATTTGCAGGGATTACTGCACTGCTGAAATGCAGAGGAGTAGAGTAGAAAGGGAAAAGCCCATTTAAGTTGTCTCATTTGTACAAGACAGCCTTAGATGGACTTGGCAAGGAGACACTCTAGGCCATCAGATATTAAGTGAAGGATTCACCTATCCAATGGGGACATGTCTCTTAGGGCTGCTTGCCCACTGTCCTTCCTGTTTGTGCAGAGAGAAGAGTCCTGCCAGGGTTTAATTCTTCTCACCTTCCAGGTGATATTTGTCTCTACTAATCATGAAGCGAGCTGAGATGATCATCTCCAGAGATCAACTCAGGGAGAGGAGAGGACATCCCTGTTTCATGTCCTATGTGGTCATGGAGCACTACTAGAGAAAAAAAGATTCCCAGCAGAACTCTCCCACCAAATGGAGCCAGAACACTGAGTCTGGCTGAGCCTTTGTCAGCTCACACTTCRCAGATAAGCACATCTTGACACATGGAAGAGCAGGCAGGTCATCACTAGRAAAGATGATGGAGCAAGAGGGAAAAACAAGAAATCCTTAGAGTAACTTGGTGCATAAAAAGCCTCCTCAAGGCTGAGTTTCCATACATAGAGATAGCAACAAAATTCCCAGATGCTCCTGTGCACAGCAATGACAGAAAACAATATCAAAATTCTGAAACCCCGTAGAGAATAACAAAAAGCCTTAGCAACTTCCACCATAACAAAAGGACAAGCAGTTGTCCTAACTTGAGTTAGTTGCTTCACAAGGAAGAATGACATAGTTTTCTTCATGCTGCCTCCTTCCCTTTCACTCAGGAGCTCAGAGGAAGATCTTGGCTGCTTTGGGAAGGTTGGTCAGGGCTTGGTGATATTTGGTCATCACTAACTTTGTTTTCCTGAAATCCTAGCTCAAAAACCCAWCAGCATTTTAATCTACACAAGCAGGCAGTGAACTAGAGGTCAGCTGAGGCCTTGCTAACAATCATTTCCTGCTGCATTTACTGACTCTGTAGGTACCTATGACAGAAGGGCATTAAGGGCTCCTGGTTTCACTCCCTTTCTCCACCTCCAAAATGGGGTTGACTGCATCTCCCTGTTTCACATAGGAGCTGGGAAGATCAAAACTCTAAGGACTGCAATGCAAACATTTGGTAGCAGGGCTTCTTTATGTACTAAGAGTGGGTCTGCAGACTTTTCTGAAGGCAAATTCAAGCTTGCTCTGTCTGCACTTCTTGCTTGTGTGGAAGCTGCAGATTTGTCTTAATAGGGTGCTGTGCCCAGGCTGCTAATCTTTGCTGAGCACAGCCCTGTGCTAATGCCCTGTCTGGAGTTTGGAATCCACTTGTGTCCAGCCAGCTCGGTCCAGGAGCAAAGGGAGCTGGAGCTCAGCTGGCAAATGACCATGCAGACAGCTCCTCAGGTAGCTAGATAGGGCTAGTCAGCTGTTCACCAGCAAACAGTGCCAAAGATGTGGGAATTACCTTCTGTTCCAGGAGTCTGGACAGCAACTGGAGGGTGCTGGGAATAAGAAAACTCTTTTTCCGGCTTAGTGAGAGCCTGTGGCCTCTCCAGTTTCTCCTCCTGAATTGCTCTTGCTTCAATAACAGGATGGTATTTTGGTAGGTAAGTTCCTGCATTAGAAAGGATTGAATTCAAGTACTTCTGCTTCTCTTTTTCAGTCTGCTGGTGTGACTCAGGCCTGGAGGAGCTACCTTCCTGCTTCTCTGGCATGTCATCAGAATGCGTGTTCACTTCACTGCGTGGTCTTGGGGTGACTTCGTTTCCCTCTCTGACCACATTGTCCCAGTAGTTCATCAAGCGCTTCTCTTGAGGTACTGAAAACTCCTTGGCTTTTAACTGGGAATCTGCAAACTTTAGCTTCTGCAGAAAGAAGTCATATGTGAATGGAGACACAGTGAGATAGGACACCAGTTCCTACAGCACCATTGAACGCAACACTATCTCCCCCCAGCAAAATAAGAACTTCGGTGCTAACTCTGAGACCAAGGACACAACTGCCACAAAGCAGCTCCATAATTCTATCTTTAACTTATATAGGGCATTACAGCTTCCTCTTGCTGTCCTTTTTATGGCTGCTTCAGCTGTGTCACCTTGAACCCAAGCAGTGTTGCCCTCATCTCTACTCATAGACACTCAAGAAGGCCGAGCTTGCAAACTGCCCCAGTCTCAGGCTGTTTACGAAACCTGGTGCTGTGGCAGGGATCTTGTCTGGGAAGGGTACACAGATGATTTAGTAGCTCAGCATCATCAGCAACATTGCTCTGCAGGCATATGAGACAGATGGTTTGGACTGAGTACACTCTGCACTGTACAGAGATATACATGGACCTCTTCTTTCATCCACCTTCCTCTTTCCAGCCTGCTATTCACAGACTCTGCTATCTGCAAACCTCCTCAGGGTGTTGAAGTAAATCCAGTTGCGGAGACATTCTTAGAGCCAACATGGAACTATCTGACCCTCCTGGGGACTCTGCCGGGCACACAGATCTACCGGCAGTAACCCAGTAGCAAGCTCAGAGTGCAACCCTGACCCACAAGAAATCCCACACTGGGATTTTCTCGCAGATGGCATGATGTTAGGAAATAAACTACCATTTTAACACATCTTTCTGCTGTCACAAAGAGTTGTGAAACCTCTGCTAAACCAATTCCAGGTTCTCAGGTCACGGATGAGAACATCAAAGAGCAGGCAAAAATAGCCCACTTAACCTTCCTTAATGAGTATGTTCCTGATAAATAGATGGACCAGATAGATCTATGAAGGCATATAATGCTACAATGACCTGATTGCATTATTTGAGACCCTCAGCCCCTGGAGATGACAACATAACCTATGAAGGGAGGGCAACAAAGACTATGGATGCAGCTAATTTTGCCAGCAGAGAAAAGAAAATCAACCCTGGCACAAACAGAAAGACTAATGGAGCTGGTAATGTGGCTGCTCTTGGGGGTCTGATGGCTTCAGCATCTTTTAGGCTGCATTCTGCAGCTCTGTCATGAGCAAATTGCTTCCTTTTCAGGGCCCAGGAAAGGACACTCCTGCTGTGAGCTGCCCCAGGCCCCTGAAGTCAACAAGGTTGTTTGTTCAGAGGCCATCCTCAAGGGCTTTGCTCCTCGGTGCCTCCATGCTGTTGTTTTGGACCTCCATGGGTTTCTGCTTGCCCCTCGATATCAACATCCCCAGGGCTCTCCCCTTTCCTATCATTTCTCCAGCTCAAGACAACTTCTTAAACATGCTTATAATAGGGCAAATCAGGGTTGCAAAGTTCTAGGGAACGCTTGGAGTTGCGGTGTTCTCATTTGGGGTTGGAAAGGGCTCCTAGTGACAAATTTCCTGAGAAAGAGCCTCCCAAGGCTCACAGTGGAAACAGCTCCCCAGTTTCTGCTTTAAGGAGCTCTTCCCATTTGGGATAGGGCTCTTCCCATTTGGGATAGGGCTGCAATTAAAATTTCACTTAGGAAAATGCCAAAGTGCATCCAATCCTCTTAAAAATACCTAGTGAGTCTAAGAGAAAAATCTGGGCCTTCTGGGTACTTCATCAACACAATACCCACCAGGACAACTTTTCTGTATAGGCCTTTAGATTTAGTATAGGATCAATAAAGAACACAGCCTAATGAAATCAAACATGTGTCGGATCTCTCTCTCTCTTTCTCAAACCATCCAGTCCACAGGTCAAGACCTCCACAAAAGGCATGCAATCTTCCAAAGACTTTTGTAAATTGAAAATAAAACAGTAAAAATAATAAAAAGACTGAAAAAAATAGTGTATGCGTGCAGCTCAGAAAAGGAGAAATCTCTCCGTTTGCACTGGGTTGCACTGCAGCAGGCAGGGGGTTAAATGGCCTGCCCGCCAAGTCAGGATCTTGGAAGCAGAACAGCCACCTAAGGCTTGGGCTTCCTGCAAACCACTCGCCAGCCTTGGAGAACAGCGGGAGCCCGGAGCAGGGAATGTTAATGAACAGCGCTGGCAGCGGTGCCCCTTCCCAGAGGGCAGGAGGAGGGGAGCTGACAGCCAGGAAGGAGCRGGAGGGAGATGGGAACGAAGCAGAGGCTCCTGAGGCTGCTTCAGAGCAGAGGACAGGGAGCCCAGAGCCCGGGTCCCACCACGGACTCATGYGGGTTGTTCCTGCGGCCGCTCTGGGGCTCACACCATCCCTCCCGCTCCTTCCCCTCCCTGCCCCAGCGGGCACTTTCACAAAACGATTCCTCTGTAATTTTCCCAGCCCAACCTGAACTTTTTTCCTTCTTTTCCCCCCCGCTTAGGCGTGTAGGACAGATCAAGCCACTTTAGCAGCCAGCATCCCCCCCCCCCCCGCTACTTCTCCCCAGTAGCCCAGTGCAACCGCAGCTGGCCGGGCCGCGCTGCCACAAGCAATTAGGCCCGGGCAGGCGGAGCGCAGCAAATCAGATTAAATAGCTCAGGGGGTCGCTCTCCCTGCAACGAGCTTAAAAATAATAATAATAATAAAAAAAAACCCTGCAGAAGTCTTCTCGTCCTGTAGCAGGGCAAGCAGACGACTCGGTCACCAACACCCCCTCGCCTCCCGTGGCAGCATCAGGATGGGCCCAATCCCGACTCGCTCCATTGGCCCCAGGGGAAGCAATAGGACAGAGGCTTAGGCCCTGCTTCAGCAAGCAGTCAT